GATGAGCTAATTCCTCACAGGTGAACAGAGGCACAGCTGCTCCAAGATGGCCCAGGTACACCAGGTGGAAGGATTTACTTTGCCTGTTCCCTGGCAGACACAGCTGTAGGATATCTTCCAGGAACAAAATTCCAGGAGCATTTGGGATCTCCAAAATACATTTTTAAAAAATCAGGAAGTAATAACATGGCTACTACTCTGTAAGTTTACTTTGGAGGGGAAAATACCACATGTTAAGAAAACTACATTAATATGTTCCTTAAAAACAAACAAACAAAAGCCAGTGTTTGCCTTGTTTTGCACAAGATTATTGAATATTTCCATTCAAAAAGAGCTGATTACTGTAAACTCAGAAAGTTCCTTTGCCTGTTCAGGTTACTTTGCAAACAAACAAACCACTTTTGTGGTTATGTCCTTCTCTGCTCCTCCCCCCATCAATAAAGTGGCTTTATTCTACTTCAGACTTGATGAACACACATCAATACCTCACAGAAAAATATTATCAAATTATGACCAAAACTTTCCACCTCTTCTCATGATTTGTGTTAGTTTGGATAGCCAGGAGTCTAATCCTGCATTTACATTCTGAACAAGTTTCAAATAATAATAATATCTTCATTTGCCCTAGTATTTGTGGAGCCTTAACTTAAATCACTATGGCAAGACTTGTATTTTACAGCTGATCTTGACAAGCTGCTAAATTTGTTTCCCTGCACAAGGGTATTTTTTGCTTTTTTCAACTTTAATAGCTAAGTTCTTCCATGCCCTTTGAGAACCTGGAGGTTTTTTTTAGTGTGCATAAAATGCTTAAACAATTATCTGTGAAGACTGTAAGAGTTTTGGTTTTTGTTTTTTCCTCACTTTTTGAGACCCTTGATTTTTTTAAGTTCATTTAGGAACTGAGATTTCTCCTGATTGTTAATAAATAACACTCGATTCTCTCTCCTTTCCATTTCCCCTTTGGCTTCCCTCCACTATATTCCCAGATTTGGGAAGGGGGATGCCTACAGCTACAGGGATTTTAGTACACTCAGGGGAACCTGGAAATGACTTGTCTGAAGGATTTTAGAGAGCCTTGACCTCTATTATTTTTTTTTGTAGGTCCATTCACTAATTTGTACTTCAAATGCTCAGCTTCAAAAGCAAGAGAGACCTAAGAATGGTATTTATTTGTTTTGGAAAACAAGTTTGCAAAGCAAAAGGGATGTCTTCTAGATGAAAATGTAAACATCTGAAATACAATAAAACCAATTTTGATACCATGGGTCCTCGTTCATTCACGAGCTCCAACTGCTTTTCAAAGCACTATTTCACAAAGGGGAAAAAAAATCCATCACCTCTCTCCATGTTTCTCTCTAATCCTAGGGAAAAAAGAAATCTATCAAACCCTTACCAAGTCCTACCATGAAACTCATTGTTCCAAACGCCTGCAGGAGAACAATTCCCTTGAGAGGGACGGGAAGAGCTCGAGTTTTCATGTGCAGCAACGGTGCCATCTACAGCCCGAGCGAGGCCACAGCCACCCCAGCGAGCTGCTGCAGCCACACAGTCTCCCATGTGCTCTTACCACACACCTGCTCTTCCAAAACTCAGTTCTGCCCGAGGATCCAACTTGAATATGATCTCTAATAGTGATGTTTAGGATATATTTTATATTTTACCCACGGAGACACTAGATATTTGCTAGCTGTTTATTCTCAGGTTGCATGGTCTTGAAGATTCTTCAGTTATGGACTGAACTCACCAATAGCTAAATTGGGTGGTTAGCAGATGTATCTATGGAAACCATGTGTTAGAGGCAAGAAGCAGAAGGACATTACATTTCTTTTGTCACACACACACAAAAGACACTGCACAGAGTGTATTTTACAGACTGCCAGAACAAAGTTAATGGACTTTTTTATAAGCCATAGTTTAGCTGTCATCTGTAAAATAAAGACTGACATCTATACTTGTTATTTAAAGCAAAAAAACCAAAACAAAACAAAAACAACTCTCCCAGTGCAGCTGCCATGTTACTGACAAGCCTCACTTCATAGGAATTAAAATGGAATAAAGAGCCTGAGAACTCAAATGTCAATATATAAAGTCAATTCAGGAACAACATACACATGCAAGCCTAATGTAACCAGTTGAATGGGCAAGGTCTTTCCAAGGGTGCCTGAAATAAGGACTGGAAATGCAGTTTGGAATCTGATAATCAGACTTGACAGAATAAAAATTCTGAACAACATGGCTGCTTCACTTTGTTCTCAAAATTCATTGCCTGGTTATTCCAATCTGTATAAAAGAGATAAGGTCACAAGGAGTTGCTTCAGGGAAAACAATAGGGGGGGAAAAAAAGGACAGATACTAAGTGGAAAAGTAAAACAAAGCAGTGAAATAAAAAGGAGCAAGGCAAAAAGCAGAAGTCAAAGCTCAACTTCCTATTAAACCAAGTTCAGTTGTTAGGAAAAGAGGGATCATAGGCAAAGACAGCTGCAGTGTTCAGTGACACCATGAAAGCAGAAGGTTCCCAGGGATGCCAAAAAGCAGAGCACAGAGAGCCCTGATGCAAATTGAGAACTATAATTCAGCCTCTTCCCACACACTCCACTCAGCAGCTTTCTCATCCTGCACAGCACAATCTGGGCACTGGGGAAAGACACCCTAAAAATTAATTAAGAAGAAAATTTTTTTAAAACCCCAAACATGCCGACCTTTTCCTTTTACAAGCAGAAAGATTATTTAGGAAAAAAATATTTTTTCCTAACATGCTTGAAATCTTTTTCCCCTCCAGTATGATGGATCTGTAAGTCAGTGCACTTCTGCTTTATTGAGCCAGTCAACAATTTATTTGTCAACGCTGAAAATACAGTTCAACCCTGACTAATTTTTGCTTGAGCAAACTGTTGAAGCAGAAAACAAAATGAAAAGATTGCACCTGTGATACCACAGCAGAACTATCCCTGATCCTGCAACAGTTCTGTGGCCATACATTAGAATATTTATCAAGGTGATATAAATGCAAATAGCAAACAGCAATTCAAATACCAGCCTGAAAGGTGCAGAACTTAATACTAGCATAAAGAGAGCAGAAGATTTGGGATGCAAGCATCATCAAGTCACCCTAGGACACAAGGATGCCTATTTCAGATGGGAAAATGAAATGGATTTAAAAATCAGATCTGAGAGCACTGATAAAGCCTGAAAGCTTTCTCATGAATTTTCAAGATGTAACAAGAGATTTATGGAAAGTGTGCCATAGATTTAAAATCATTTAATTAAGGCTTTGCTCAGGAGCATGGGGAAAGGTGGTATAGGACCATACAATTTAATAAAGCAGGAAAATATTAGAGAAAAAAAGGACCATGTCCAAGGGAATAGTAAATTCACTTGATGAGAGTGAGTCCTGAGAAACTCTGGTGAAATTAATTTAGCAAAAATTAGTGATGGCATTGGAAAGAGCAAATAAAAACTAGAAGGCTGTAAAGAAACCTCAACAGAAGCTTTTTTAAAAAAAGACCTCTGCCTCTAAGAAATGCTAATGTAAAAAAACTTTTCAATACAGGCACTTTGTCATTTTAGGACAGATTCCCTTTCATAAACTCAACATATTCCACAATATGTTAGGGGAAAAGGTTTTATGATGATTTCTCCAAAGAAGGAGAAATAAGCAGAAGTTTCTGCTTCGTAAAAAAAAAAAAAAAAAAGAAAAGAAAATGTAAGGAAATAAGAGCTTTTCATAGAAAGCTTTGTATTACTCTACAGGAAGCCGAGAAACAAAATTGCACCTTTTTCAGGCAGCAAGTCATCTTTTCAAGTCTTAGTTGACATTTTAAACACCCTACAGGGCAGAGATGCAATTTGTAGAAGTTTGTTTGTATCTCTACCAGATTTCTTTTATGAATGCATAAGGTACACACAAATACCATTAAACCCTCTCAAAAAAAACCCCCAAAAAACCTGGCTTGTAGGACAGCACTTTTGTAGCAAAACAAACATTGTGTGAGCTTAACTTGTAGAACTGTAAGTATTTTTTTGGAATGAAAGGAACCAGGTCTTACTGCTTTTGACTCAACAGGTTTTGTTGTACTGATGTGGATGAGGAGTTGAGGGGAGATTAAACTCTTGTAATAAACCAGTGTGTGACCCTTCATCTCAAACCACACCAGAGCTTTTAAAATCACTTTATAATCCATCAGCTTCACTGGAGCTTCAACAGTGGAAGTTCATGGTGGCTTGAATGCCCAGCAGCACCCCTGGAAGGCAGTTTTAGGGGTCAAAGCAAGACTTTGAGTATAGACAGAAATAAAGAGATTGTTATGTCAATATTTCTGAAGGGATGTTCACAATCTGTCCTCTTTAGTGTGCATTAAACCCACATTTACCTGTCTCCTCCTCAGGCTGGTGAAGCTCCTGGTCCCTTCCACTGCTCCCACCTGGGGAGGCACCAAAAGGGCAGCTTCCACTCCTCCCAGCCTTTTGCCCTGAGATGCTGTTCTGTTCACAAAACTGCTCTCTGGATAAAGTTCCTCAACTCCCCCAACTTTTCTAACACTCAGATCAACTTTAATCTATATAAAAATATATCTTGCCATTATCATCTTCTCCTGCCATCTCTCCAAGGCAATAGCTCTACTAAATCCTTTCCTCTACTTACTCCTTTATTTTTTCCTGGGCAGTAATAACCCAAGTCTCAATTTCAATGTATTTCTCTCATCTCTCAGGTGCCCCTTTCACTCTGCTGGATCACTTGTTTCAAGAGCTCCTGCCATGCTCCAAGACTCTGCCAGCAGCACATCCAAGCAGTGCCCATGAGCTGTAATCAGCACACAGGCAAGGCTAACATCTCCAGGCTCAGAATTTATGTCCTTACTCCCTGGATGCAGGCACACCACACATCTCTGCTGCTTTTGCAGTCGTTGGCAATTGGTTATTCCTTGGAACAGGAGAATACTGGATATTTTTTTAATTGCTACTGTCACAGTTAGTGAGAGGGTTCACTCCCTTCTACTCACTGTTTTCCTTGTTAATGCTCTGGTATCAGTTGAACAAGCTGACAAATCTGAGACTTTTTCCTCATCCATTCAATTTCCAGAGTCTCTGTTCAGTTGAAAGTGTCCTTTCAGGCTCCTGTCTTCATCAGCCTGTCACTTCCTGGCATCATCTCACTGCAACTTAAAGGCTTAGCCCCTTGCAGCTGAGAATAAAAGAAGTTTCTCTTTAATTTTATCAAAGAAATTATAAGTAATTCATAACTAAGATAATAAAAAACTTGAAGAAATCTTTTTCCTCAAACACCACAACAGCTTTGGTAAATATTCTCAGTTTAGGGAAATGAGCATGGTTATTTTTTTCTGCTCTCTGATAAATTCATTAGCCAGGAATATTTTTGTGATCAGAGGAACCATGCAATTGTGTTACTGGAAGATGGAAATAAGCACAGGCAGGCTGAGGGACAGCAGGGCTTTTCCTTACTCAGTTACAGCCACACACGAGGTACAAGCCACTGCAAGGGACAGGCTGAACTCACAACTGACACACTCCAACAGAACAACTGGCTTTGCTGGCTAAATCAAAGCTGAAGCCCTGACAGATGTCAAAAACACGGGCAAAATCCTGGTGGTGACTAATTACATCAATAATGCATCTTTTATTCCCTGCAGCCAGGACGAGATGACCTGGCTTCAAGACAACAACTCTGTCAAAAATACACAAATAATATAATTACCATTAAGAACAGTATGAGGATTTTCTCCCTTTTTCATCTTATTCTGTAGAGTCCTTTAAATCACAGCTCTCAGGATTACAGGAGCAGCTGGCACCTGTAACAGGACTGGAATTTCATCACTCAAGAGGCACAGATAAGCTCATAGGCATCTTTAAACAAAGAAAGACTCCAAGTGAAGATTACAGCAGACATCCCCTAGTGCAAAACAGCACCAACAAAGCCATAAAGGAACTTTAATGAAAATAAAATTAATACTACAGTTATTCATTGACACAACATTTTATGAGACAACAGAAGAAGCAGGTAAGACAAAACAAAAACATAAAGAGACTTGGAAGTTTTGGTTAAATGCTTGTTAAAATCTGTCACTGAGATTAGCAGTGCAAATAAATAAATAGCTTACAATAAATTAGTTTTCAGTCACAGATTCTGACCAAACACACAGTTCTCACCATCAGGCAGTTAAATTTTACATCTGCTGAGGAAAACTATTATGATAATAACCCATTAAGCTCTTAATTCCTGGCCCTCAGGACAAATCAGGAACTTTCTGTCATTGCACAGGAGTGTACCATACAGAATATAAAAATATATATGTAAATAAAGTGTGTCACAAACCCAGTGCAGTCTGTAGGCATAAGAGAAGGATCATATTACTTCCAAATTATACAAGGATATTTTATACTAAGTTCTCATTTACAATGAAGTGTAAACCCAGCAATGTAAAAGATTCTTAAACTGAGTGGCAGCACCAAGGTGCCACAGGTGAGGCAAGGGGTGACAGAACAGAGTGCTGACATTTCACAGGCTGTTAAAGGATGTGACCTAACCTCAGCAGGAGTGGCAAATTCTGCATTTCAAGGCCTCCTTAATGGGATCAGCCCCCAGTGTGCCAGTCTAGATCACACTTCTCCCCCAGTCCAGTGTGCAAACACACCTTTGCAATTTTGCAGTTTGGCCCACTGAGAGCAACAACATTTAGAATTTATATGGATATCAACCCACAATTGACTGTGAAGCCTAAAATGACAAAGCACTGGCCCAGTTGTCAGACAGCAATTAATCCCCTTCGAAGATGATGGACAGACAGAAAAACACAAGCACATCTTCAGAGAAGTGTCTGGTCAAAAGACCATGATATTCCATTAAAAGCCTTCTGTGAAGTCCCAGCAGATTCTGGATCAGGCCCTTATAACCCTCCAGAAAATGGCAATACCACCCTTTCAACCTGAGAGTCATGTGTCCAAGCATGACTGGAAGTTCAATTCAGAGTTTACTCTACAGACCACACCTCCTGCACCTGCACTCTCTTGTACAGCACTTTTTCAGCTTCTCCATTTTCCAGCACAACAATGCAGTTTGCAGGGCAATACAATGGCATTTAAATTTGTACCCAAGAATTAACCTGTAAAAACAGCACAGTAATTATGCATGCATTGTTAATTATTAATATGCCTCGTGTTAACAAAATGTGAACATGCATGCCATGTTTAATCTTAAATCTCTTTGGAGTCCTGTTCTGGAAAACTCTTACATATTCCCTTTCATTCTTCTAAAATTGAATTGCATCTCAGTCTCCATCTTTCCTGAATTCAGATCTGAAGCTGCTCTGTCCTCAAAGCTGTAGAGAGCAGATCTTACAATGTCAGCCCCATGTCAGACTTTCACGTTGTCCCAAAAAGGTGCACATTGTCTCCATAATTCCTGTCTTCTGGCATTCAGCTGTGTACAGTCCAGACACAGAATAAATGGAGCAAGCAGCAGTGGTTTTGTTTACCTAGAGCAGAGGGCAAACAAGCCCTAAACTAGCTCAGGAAGAAATTATTTTTTCCTCCTGGAAATCCTGCAGTAATGTTGTTTTCCAAAGATTTACTCTTTGTTTTTATAAAATAAATTTTACATTTTCTCAGCCACTATCCCAACATTATTAGAGTCCACAGATCATTTTCCCCCCCTCATTTCAGCATGCAAAGCAGCAAGCTCTTTTAAATGGCTTATTGAAATGATCATAAAGAGAATGATTTCTCCATTCCCAAACCCCTTGTGGTGCTACTGTCCATTTCCTACTGCAGAGTGCACAGTAAGCTCAGAGCTGAACAGGACCAGGTGCTTTCTCAAATTCCTTTTGGAAGCTGGCTGATCACAGAACTTGACCTCGATGTTGCCATCACTGAACGCCTCCCTCCTGCCTCCATCCGAATCCGTGGGGTCTCTCTGAGATGCACTTGGCTTTTTCCTCCTCATGGTCATTCCTGAGTTCCCAAGCTGCCTGCCTGGGGATGTGTTTTCTTTCATAATGCAGAAGCAGAGGGCAGACAGAAAATTTTTCTTGAAGTTCTCATTCATGAAAGCATACACAATAGGGTTGCAAATAGAATTGAAGAATCCTATGATCTGGACAATTGCAAAGATCATTTTGATTGTCACATCATCATACTCCTTCTCAAAATTACCTGGAAAGAAGAAGAGAAATATGCTGTAAACACAGAATGTCATAAATGCTTACTACTTAGCCTGTTCAGATGCAGTTTGGCATTAGATGCTTTTGTTTAAAATCAACAAAAACCCATGTTGGAATTTTTAGCATTATCTACCACACGGTCCTGCTTTGTATGTAGGTATTAACAGAATCAAACAGAAGAGAAAATTTATGAGCAAAAAAACCTGACAGGCTGAACTATTGATTTATCTGCTGCAATCTTATTTGTGATAGGAGACAAAGAAACAGTTCCTGCCTTTAGCAAGTAGAGTACAATTACTGCAAATTTCCTCTTGTTCCTGCACATAGGCAGCTCCAGTATCCATGGAGGAGGTGGGAGATGAACACTGGAAGACCCCAGAGAATAAAGCAAACGGCAAAAAAAAGCCAACACAACAAGCACTGAGGGCATTTCCATGCCAGTTTTCAGTAAAGGGCACTGAAAAACTCCAGCTGGATTCGTTGGGCATCATCACTGTGATGTCTGGTATTTATATTTCCAATATGCCTACCTCAATAAAAGGGAAAAATGTTTCATTTTAAGTTGAACTCAAACCAGTTAAGTTAAATTAAATATAATAAAAAACTTCCAGAGGTTATATGCTCAGAACTAACTTTTACCTTCTAGCCAAATACTTTTGACTTTTGAGCAAATGAGGGCAGCATAACAGACATGGTAAGAAAAACAATCTACACAGAGATGCTCACACTTCTAACAGTCCTGTTTTTCCTTAAGTCTTTCTTACAAGCAGAACATCAGCCTTTGCTAGCAGAAGGTATTCTAGAGGTGAATGCTGTGGCATCATTAGCTTTTCACAACCCAAAGTTCCATTACTAAAAGAACCCAAAAACCCCAGACTTCATTCTGTGAGATATGGCAGGTACTCACTGTATTCCATCATCATGTGAATCACGTGGAAAGGGGCCCAACAGACTGCAAAGAGAAACACCACTGTCACCATCATAACAATTGCTCGCTTCTTCTTCCTGAAATTGCACCAAGAATTCCACACTGAATCACTGGGAACTGGCTAGCAGTTACATATCTCTCTTCAAGTTAGACCTGTGACTGTGCCCTGATGGCTGCAGATGCAAACAAAACCCTCAAGGAATGCTCATAACTATACAATTCCCTTGGAAACAAAAAAAATGCATCATCATATAAATCTAGCACTTTATTTCTCTTTTTTTGGGACAGCAGAGCATTTTGCAGCACGACATCAGCACGTCTTGCAAGGTGTTTTCAACTCTATTCAAGAGGAAGAAAGAAATCAGGAAAAAAGCTTTCTAGAAGTCAAAGTTGCAAGTGTATTTTTCTTACAAACCTTGATATTTTAGACATTTCACTGCCATGAATGGTTTGAAGAACTGAAGCGTCTCCCACTCGTTTCTTAATCCAGAGTTCATAGCCAATTTTAGTGTACAAAAAAAGCATCAGCATCAGTGGAAGAAGGAAGAGTATAACAAGAATAAAGGTTGTATATATCTTCTGATAAATGGGACTGGCCCATTCTTCCAAGCAACAAACATGCACTTTTTCATATAGAAAGTCATATTTAACCTGTAACAAATGCAAAGAAGATGAGTCACTGAGGTGTTTATCCCAAGTGTAAAACCAAGCACATTCAGACATTCCCTGCTCTTAATGGAACAACCAAAATTCAACACATTTTTTGAAGTGATAAAATTCTTTCAAGCACTTTTCCACATCAAGGGTTGGGCTCGATCCAAATTGACAAAGAGAGGCTGGGAGATGCTGTGATTTGCACTTCAAAGGAGACCTTGGATACACATTTCATAAGTAAACAAGGATGTATAGAAACCTCACGTTAGTCACTTAAAAAAAAAATAAAATTATTAGCATTCAGACTCACAAGCAGCAGATTCTGCCAAGCCTCCTACTTAACCTCAAAACATGCGTGCTAACTCATCCACTATAATGAGCAGATAATTAATTTTAAACTAAGCACAGTTCTTCCAGATCTTGGGGAACACTATGTCATCCTGAAACAGCAACCTAAGCCCTCTATTGCTGTGTGCCAGTGTACCTATAAACCACAAGAAAGCCACAGGGGAAGTCACAGATGTAATTACTGTTCTTTGATGCAATTAGGGAGAGTAGGAACGACTAGTCCCTGTTGGTACTCCTCCTTCCAATGCATGCAAGTTCTAATCCTTAGCCTTTCCCAGACTGGCACACAGAATCAAAGCTCCACCTCCCTTATCCCCTTCTAATTTCACAGGAGTTGATTTAATTTCACTAAAAGGTACAGGAAGATCCAGCAAGGACTGAGTTTAATAAGCAAATCCCATTTGACCTAACCTACCTCAAGCCGCTGCACGTACCACATGGGTGACCCAACAATAAGAGCCAGCAACCAGACTATGCCTGCAAACAAATAGATTTTTTAATACTTTGTCCAACAAGCAGGATTTGGTATGAACAGTTTAACAGCTTTGAAAAGTCAGGCAAGGCAGAAAATTGTAGCCAAGAACAAAGTTTTCTATGAGGCATACATCAATCAACAAATCAATAAGAGTGTGCTCTTTTGACATCAGCTTTCTGTCTCTCAAACTACCTCCATTTATTGATATTGCACAGGAAAAGCCACTTCATCTGCATAAGGAGCATTAAATAAATCTCTTTGTGCAACAATGGAAGAACCATTTCCCTGTGACGTTGCTTAACCAGCGCTTGTACATTTTGAACTTTTCTTGAAAAGAAAAACAAGAAATGGCTGCTAAAGTATTATCTTTGTTAAGTACAGTTTTTACTTCAGATGCTAAGTCCCTTGTGAGAGTTTTGACTGCTAAATACTGTACTTGTAGGCACTATCCTTGAACTATTTTATAAAGGTCAATTAACTCTGCCTCTGAATCATTGGTCAAATCAGTGCTTTCTGTTCTGCCTGTGGACGGCCATGCCATCCACACTGAAGATTATTTCTCACACAATTACTGGAAATGCTTAAAATCTTACCAAGCATGGTGAAAGCTCTTTTATTGGTGTACTGCCACTTCATTTTTAGTGGATGCACAATTCCCTGGTGTCTCTCCACAGCAATGCAGGTCATGGTAAGAATCTCAGTTACGATGGCAGTGGACTGAACAAATGGCACCATCTTGCAAGCGAAGGCACCTGCAATAATCAGAAAGTAAGGCATGCAACAGCTACTAACACTAGACTCCACTGCTAGAAATAACAAACCATGATTCTTAGATTTGTTGTAGCATCTCAACTGCTTCATCACCTATTTAAGCCATTTGTCATGTACACATCTGCAAAGCCAAGATTTCTAAGGACATATTCTCTTGCTCTGTTACCAGTCTGAAACTTTCTCCTATTTCACTTTTGGCCAAGTCTTCCATCATCTGTTTTCAAAAATGTCAGGTTACAGAGACATTTATTATTTTTTTCATTTTGACAGATTACTCTCCAGTTTATGAAGGTCTGAGTGTTACCTGTTTAAAAGTTTACCTTTTCCACTGTTGCAAACACTTTCATTAAGCTCATTTAGACATCACTCTATCTGTACACTTCAGCATTTAATGCATCATCCTGTCAAGTAAGATATATAGAGGAGGCATAAGAGGAAAAATTCAACCTCTTCATCACCCTTCTGGTCTCCAAGTCTCCCTCTCTGCTGATTACCAAATTTTGTTAGTGCCACTGTCCAAACCAAATGCATTTTCCTGCCTACATTTTCTAAGTTGTAGATTCCTATTGTGTTTATGCAACTTCAAGTTTTATTGCTGCCACAGCTTTCCAAAGTCCACATTCAATTCTTAGCACATTAGTCATTCTCCACTACTCATTCTCAAGTCCTAGGCAATCTTAGAAAGTGGTATAAATCATTCTGTAAAAATGCCCTTCCCAATCTATTTCTCACTTACCCCTTTTCTGACCCTGAGATAATTTTCTCTGCCCATATTTCTACAGTTCCCTCACACTCTTACAGTTTAGTATCAGCTATTCACTTCAGCAACAGTCAGGGTTATTCTCCTTACTAGACCATTGTTTAAACCTTACTCAGATATAATCCATAAACTCAGAACGGCCTAAGAAGTATCTGATCCAATTTTCAGTCAAGCTTTAAGAAGCTACAGACATCTTAAGCAGTAACAGCATAGAAAATAGAAAACAAACAGAAAACTCTGAAAACTTAATCCTACCTTCCATGAAGGGAACAAGGAACAGGGAAACTTCTGCTTGCTAGGCCAGGCTAAAAGCCACTCCAGCTTACAAGAAGGAACTGGTCTGCTACTGGTCTTACCAATTCTAGTTGCCCAAAATCTCTTTTTCTGTGGCTTCACAAAGGGAAGGAGAGGACAAGCAGCAATGGGTGGAAATCAAGCACCTTTCAAGCACATATTCAACACCAGCAACATGATAGGTGTGCACACAGATCTGGCTTAAACCAGAATAAAAACACATCATTCAGCCCAATTTCAAGTTCCTTGAAGGAAATCTTAGCATGGAACTCAGTAGGAACTGCATGGCTGAGGATGCAGAGGGCTGCATATCTGTTTTTCACCTGGTATGTGTTTTTCCAGGGCATCAGGAAGAGCAAGACAAGACATCCTCACATCTTGTATCAACTGCAATTTATAAAATAAAATTCTCCCTGCTTCTTCCTTGACTTCAGTAATGCCTAAGGAAACACCTCATGAAACACAGCCAATATTGTACTAACTCAGCATCTCATCAGTTTCTCACTACACCCAGTACAGAATGTGCTGCACATATTGCACCAGACCCATTCTATCAAATTCACATCCTTCACCCAGTGGGCTTAAACTTCTGCTGAGAGATAAAACCAAAAGCAAGCTCAAATTCTGCCTATTCTGCACATGGCAAGTGGTGAATGTGACCAGAGAGCTGGTTTTAAATTTTTGCTTCACTAAGTTATAAGGGCCTCCTGTTACAAAAAGCAGAAAAGCAAAACTTGTTAATGAAATGTTTAAGTTCCTGTTTCACTAAGGAAATCAGTTCAAGTCTGAGTGCTGAAGCTGGGGGAAAACCAAAAACAAGCAAACACAAAAGAAAACTGAAAAAAACCACCAAACTTTCATCATAGGCTATTTCTTACAGTTTGAAAAAAGCCAGACTTAATTTAAGTCCACATAAAATACACCTGCCTTACAGGGATTTCCCTGTAATGCACAACTCCTCCACTGAAATCCCAGCATCCCAGGGTATTCTTAGGAAGCAAAGAAGGAACACTATTACTCAGGTAACAAAATGAGACACAGACTTTCACCATCGGTCTGGTACAATTTCCAGCTGGTGCCCAACAATTCAAAGAACAAAGAGAACACCTCAAATTGTATATCCCCAATTTGGGAGAGAACTCCCAAATTCCCAGATGCCCATTGATTTTTTTTACAGATGTGTTTTCATTTTCTCCCCAGTAACCACACTGTCAAAAAGCAGAGACTACTATTCACTATGCCTTGAGCTGAACTCTCAGGGGAAAAGGCTGCAAAAAACCTGTATTTCATCTTTTTGAAGACAGACACACAGAAAGTAAGCATTTAAGCTATATAAAAGTAGCTAAAAGCAAAAATCTACATAATGCCTGCAGATTGAGCCTACTGAGCTGGACGAGGAGTGTCATTAGCACTTCCAGAAATGGGAAGAAAAAGGATATTTTCCACTAGACACAGTTGGCTGGAATAGAAACACCTGCTCAGAGGCACACAATACACACTTTGGGGACTTGGAGGCCACAGCAAAGCCACAAGAACTTTTTATAAGCAAGAAACACCACAATATTTTCAAATGACCAGTAGGTAAAAGCTACTCAAAAAGCATCTATGTACCAAAAGTAAAAACAGAACAAAACTTGGACTTCCTGGAAGCTACTGGTGCCACCATGCATGGGATCTCTGGGTATAACTTCTATTAATAACATAATATCTTAATATCAGGGCTCTTGTGCTTGCCCTGAATTGTCACTCACTACACAAATGCTGCCCCATTTTCTGAAATCACAAGACCCTCAAGTTGCCTTGGAATTCAAACCTCCATCAAGATTTAGAGACTGCTGGGCAAGGAAGTCGCTTCTCCTTCACAGAAGTATTTAAAGCAGATTGGCTCGGGGGAAAAAGGGAAAGAAATAAATTGTTTAGAATGTCAGGGCCAAGTGAAGAACCATCAACTTCAATGGAATTCTGACACCAACACACCTGAGATCCAGCTCCACCATCCTCACTGGGTTAGAATGGGATTTAATGCTGAGATTGCAGGAGTCCTTGTACTTGGCAGAATTGTGAACGTTTTTCACATCAAGACTCTTCTTAGTTTTCAAACCCATTGTTTTATTAATAAATATGCAACAGCTATTCCCAACTGTTTCAATAATTACTAGATATTTTCTCCAGATTTTTCAATACTTCAAATTATATAACTTATGATTTCAAACTACAAACATTAATAGGCCTTTACACATGGAAAACTAAATTAACTGTTAAATAAGGTAATTATTTCAGAATAATGCATACACATTTCACTTTATATTTAGTCCATTTGTGTAGAACAAGGTTCACCTGCAGCAAGAAGAAATTGATACAACCCCATTCTCAAATATCTGTTAGTTCAAAGTCTCTTATGGAGAAACTGAGAAAACAGTGCCAAATTTTACTAGAAGAAACACATGGAAAGTTTTGAGGAAAAAAATTAATTATGCTACTACATCATAGTAAATACAGTGAAATTAAAATAAGACTGAGACAGGCAAAAAACCAGCTGTGTCAAACACATACATTAAAACCATTTCGTGAATTTTCACACTTGTGTTCAGACTTAACACAGAGTAACAGAAAACTTTAAAGGAATATACCAGCTTAAATCTTTGTTATAATCCAACTGGTAAAAAACGACACTGTTTGGAACATGGTTTGAAGATAATATCACTAAAAAAAAGCCACAAAGAACCAAAGTCCACTTCAGCGAGGTTCAGTTAAGGTTATTGAAATCTCACTCCATAAGTTTTCCCAGAGCTGGGTTAAAAGCTGAAGTGCTGGGATCACCTCAAAATCACTGGAACTGTTAATTTCTGCACTGTGGCAGAATAATCTCTCAGAATAATTCAATATTCTCTTCAGAATAATTTAAATAATGATAACACTTTAATTAATTCTTAATATGTATCCAAATGTTTAAATTTCCACGGTGTTAGTCTTTTAGGGAACACTTCCAACTGATCATCAGTCAAGACAGCACTGCAGCATCTAATACTGACCACTTTCAACTGGGAAAGAAAATAATTTGAAAATAACTAATTGCTTCTCTTTTTCAAGAGGCTAAAAGTATTCTTTATGCACTGCTTGCTAAAAACTGCATACATTATTCAAACAGTGAATAGTTTTCCCAGTAATAACATATTCAAGACTGCAAATATAAACGGCATTCCCTTAAACAGTGTTTTATGCCTTCATTATCAGACATTGTGCCTGGAACTGTGATTTAGTCATTTCAAATATCACTTTTTCTTTTATCAGGGTAACAAAAGTAAAAGCCTGAAACCATTCTCTGATCAAAGTTAAATTGCTCCTTTCTCTGGTAAAATGCTATTGATGAAGCCCTCGCACTAGAATTTCTATCACAGCTTCTAATGAGCTCTCTCCACCTCACTTGAAGCAAACAAGTTGATTTTTCTCACATTTTTAACTTGGGGCAATACACATCAGTCACCATCACACAGCTGATACCCCCATGGGTGCTGCATTCCTGGGCAATGCACTGTTTTACATCAGCTCTTGACAGAGATACAAGATTTGGTTCTCATCCCTCAGCGAGGAATGTTTGTGTGCTCTCACACACGGCAGCTCTAAGGTACACACTGCTCGACACAAGACATTTGCTGAGTAACAAATAATTGTTAAAGACTCAGCTGGGTAGAAGGTGCCAGTTTTTCTCCAAGCCTTTCGACAAGAGCAAACTGTCACATCAAGAGGCACCAGACCTGACAGCGACACACGGAAGACCCACCCCTCTCTTGAGTGGCAGCTGGAGGCCACAAGAGAGACACGAGGGCACCGCAGGATTCAGGAGTGTCTCAGGTGACTCACTGCCCTCCAAGTGACAGGCAAAGTCACCCTCTGACACCCGTCTTGAGAATACACATTCCAGCTGAT